TCCTCGACTTCTTTAAATGTATACGATTTTGTTTCGAAACTCTATGGTGCGAGAATTATATGTTATCCACATCAAAAAATAGTGCCGTGTTCGAAAACAATCCTTTCCGGACACTACAAGAAATCTGCCAAACAGTGACGAAAATTCATGTGACGAAAATAAAATCGTCACCGTATGTTGCCTTATGGTGACGAATTTAATAAATCGTCATTAAACCATTGCATACGTCGACGACTCCTATATTCGTCATGTTAGAAGTCTTTTTTCGTCACATAATGGAGTTTTTCATGACAATGCATTTCAATTCGTCACATATACATCTAAATTCGTCACATGTATATAAAATGTGACAAAATTAAATGTGACAAACAAATTGTCGTCACTGTTGTTGTTATTTAAAATGACGCTTGCGACAAATTCGTCATAATATAATTATTTATTGTGACGATACATTATAATACACCTAAATTTGTCACAGTAATACGTATTGTGACGAAATTCACTACGACGAAAACAAATTCGTTGTTTTTCTTCGTATTTGAAATGACGCTTGCAAAAAATTCGTCATTATATAATTTTGTTTTGTGACGATAAATAATACAATAACTAAATTCGTCATATTAATACATATTATGACGAAAGTCACAGTGACGAATCAAAATCGTTGTGTTTTATTGAGTTTAAAATGACGCATACGGATAATTCGTCATCATAAAACTTTCTTTTGTGACGATATGGTTTTATGCATCTATATTTGTCACAATAATACATATCGTGACGAAATTCACTATGACGATAAAAATCATTGATTTTTATTTGTATTAAAAATTACACTCACGTATAATGTCATAATATAACTTTGTTTTGTGACAAATTTGTGTCATAAGTGGTTATGTAACAATCACCAAATTTATACTCGTCATTAAAATATGCCCTTTTTATAACGTCTTCGACTTTTGTCACTAATATCTTATATTGTGTTACGACATCATTTGTCATTAAAATATGCCATTTTACTTGTAAAATGAATGACAAATATATAAAAGAAAAGCAAGATCGAATTCAGTTTTTACAACTCAAGTCAAATAAAATCACTAAACTCAGATTTTTGCACAAGAATCATCTACAGAAACTGGAAAACAAGAGATCTACTAAGAATGCATAAGAATGAGAAATACAAGAACTTGCTCCTTAACACCCATGAAGTTAGCATAAACACATGAACAAGCTGCAGCTGGAAGAAAGTACACCTAAGAGAGAGTTATATACATATATATATATATATAACAAAAGGATAATCCTTCGAAAGCAAAACATTCTACGTTCTCAGTTACTAGAACAAACCTCTTCATCCTCTCTCCTTTTTCTTACAGTGATAGTAGCAATATACTTTTGCTCTTCCCATATCTCATACTAAAACATCCCACCACTTTATTTCCACTGCTACCATTAAATTGCTTATGTATACCTTTGCGACTGACTTGTTCGAAACAACTATGTGATCCACCAGGCCAGGTTCAAGTAGCTTGTTCTTGAATTCTTGAAAACTTATCTGAAATACAATAAATATATAATAAAAAATTTCAATAAGAAACATAACCACCACAAGTATAGATAACAATAATAATACTAAATTACTAATGGATACATAATAAAATCATATCCAGACCATTTGTATCGATTCCGATTATCCATGCTGTTCGAATAGGATACGGCATGGAGAATATTTTCCTTTTCCAAATACCAAAATTCATATTTTATTTAAGAAAATGGAGTGCATGTACTGTTCCACCCATCTATAATGTGAGTGGACAGCTACCAAATGTAAGCTAGTACTGGACTTTGATCATTGACAAAAAAAAAAAGAAAAAAAAAGAAAAAATATGGAAAAGTAAAAGAAGAAAACAATAAAAGCAATGGTACAAAAACTGGCTCAAGGTTTAATATATGTTGAAGTGGTACAAAGACAAGAGGCATTCACTTGAACCACCAGAAAATGTTACCTTAAAGTTATTTCCTAAGCCTTGGCGCAATTGCTATACGAGTGGGTACTAAAATCAAAACTCTGATAGCAAAGAAGGAAAGCATGACATTGCCTGCAGACACAAGGTAATTGTTTCAGAGTAGCAGAAAGAAATTCATCTGCTTCTGGTCATTAGGACCACCCAACATTGATGTAAACACAAAAGCAAGCAATAATGAGGGAAGAAGGTATTTTTGAAAATACTCTGACATTTCCGAATTGTTCCATTGTTCACCTGCTCCTGAGTGGAAAAGTATATATCCTCAGATCCCGAACTTGGTGTGATGAGCTGCTTTATGAGTCCTTGGTTCCTCCTGAAATTTAGAAACAAGAAAAAAAAAGAGACAGAAACATCAAGAAAGTAGTTACAAGAAAGCCAGATTTAGTTGCTCCAAGGAAAATTCAAAAAGAAAAATGAAAATAGAAACAGATCCAAGGTGTTTGCATCATTTTTCACTTAACCCATAAAGCCAGGAGTTGGCATAGATTTCTGCAAAGTCAATGTTGAGTTGAGCTTCAATGGCCGAGGAACTGATTTCCAGCATCCAAGTAGCTGGATTATAGACCATACTTTTATACAAATTAAATAATGCACTATAATTAGAAGCAGAAATTGATAATACAAAAGCCTCATAAAATAACCTTTTTTTTACTAATTTCAGCTTTTGAAAAGTCACACAGCAGCACTCAAAGCAGAATACATCTCACCTCGAAATATTCGACAAGTTTGTGAGAGTGGTGGCTGAGGTGTCCAGCATAGATCACTTGTCCTCCGCCCTTCATTAACAACAACTGCAAAGGTTTAATAGTTTTTGTCAATGTCAGATCTGCAATGAGAAAAAACTAGAATATGATGTTCCAGTAAAATGCACCATTTGCAAAATTGTCATGAAACTATATTAATATTCCAATATTGATCTAAATAGTTACGCAACTAGCTCAATCTCAAGTAAAAATCCAGTTGTTCGAAAAACTCAAGGATGTTCTTTCGTGGGCCTTGATAGACGATGTGGCCGTCTTATAGGAGGATGATGTCATCGAAAAGGTCGAACGTCCCAGGAGCCGGTTGGAGTAGGGATATGAGCATGGTTATGTCCATGGTGTGGACCATTTGCCGCAAGGATTTAATGATTTGGAAAGTGGTAGAGATATTGAGCCCGGTCGAGATCTCGTCCATGAAGAACACTTTCGCGGGCCACACCAACATTTCCCCTGCGAACAACAGAGCATATAGATTATTTTAGCTGTTATATAGGTTCACGAGTTTATGAAACATATAAAGTTCCGTCTAGAGTTCAAGCACATCACTATCTGTAGTTATTCGGTACCAGAGCTCTGACATTGAGACCGAAATCAAGAAGACAAATCAATTTATATTCTTCAGCTGTCTGATTCAACTATTTTCCAGAAAGATGAGTAGAAGAAGAGTTTACATACTCACTAGACTGTTCAACGTTGAGTGACAAAAATCTGGTAAGCCCAAACGTTCAAAGATTCTCTGGGCAAGAAGATCCGGTGGAGCTAACGCAACACAAAAACCTTGTTCGGACCTGCATCATCAAGTAGATGGGAAATTTTATGATGGAAAATTTTGACATTACAATATAACATGAAGAAGAACCCCAACTAGATACGAAGAAGAACCCCAACTAGATACAACATGAAGAAGATAGCCTTGTAATGAGGATTTTATTCTGAGTTATGATATTTTAGCATTGTTTAAAAAAAAAAAAAAA